ACTTAGGCAGTATGGTTTAGAAGAATGTTTTCTGTAGTGGAAATCAGAAGTTCTGGATTTTTTTTCAGACAGGGTCTTTATCACCCTGGTTGGAGTGCAGTGGCACAATCTCAGCTCACTGTAGTCTCAACTTCCTGAGCTCAAGCAATCCTCCCACCTCAACCCCACAGGTACCTGGGACGACAGGCACGTGCTACAATGGCCAGCTAATTTTTTTGTATTTTCTTTTGTAGATATGGGGCCTCACTATGTTGCCCAGGCTGTTCTTGAGCTCCTGGACTTAAGCAGTCCTCCCACCTCAGCCTCCCAAAGTGCTAGGATTAGAGGCATGAGCCACTGTACCTGGCCAGAAGTCCAGGATTTTAATTTGGCGATAATGCTGCCACATAGGTGTGATGTGATGCTTAACGTTTCTGAGATTGGGTATAAAAACAAAGGAGTTGAAATGGTGGACCTTTAAAATTCTTTCCAGTATGAAACATTCTGATTCTTATTTACTTTATTAATACTGAACTATTGTGGAGTTTTCAAATTCACTGGCTCCTGGTTTATTGTTGAGAAAAACATTGAAACACAACTAAGATCTTTCATGAATCATCTTTCTTGAATTTTCTAAGAAAGAAGAAATTATTTAAAATATTTATATTTTTACTCTCTATCAAGTGTTCTTGTTTTTTTTTTTTGTTTTTTTTTTTTTTTTCTTTTCGAGATGGAGTCTTGCTCTGTCCCCCCAGGCTGGAGTGCAGTAGAGTGATCTCGGCTCACTGCAACCTCTGCCTCAGGTTCAAGTGATTCTCATGCCTCAGCCTCCCGAGTAGCTGGGACTACAGGCATGCGCCACCATTGTTCTTTCTTTTATTAAGTTAGACTGTCTGTGAAAAATAATTTACTTGACTACCATTGTTAGAAGGTTTCCATTTCTCAGAATAAAGAAGCGCTTGTGAAGAAAGTTATTTCAGTTGCACATCTCTGATGAAATCTACTCCAAGCTAGTTAAATTGTTTATTTGGCCCAAGGGCCTAAAACCTGAAATACTACATTCTTGGCACAGTTCTAAGTTCTCACTATAAATGTAATACCTGAGGTTGCAGGAGGTCAAGGAAGAGGGAAAAACTTATTTTATGCCTGTTATTTCATCTTACCCTCTTGGAAGAAAAAATATTCTTGTTTATGTTTTGGGGAAATAATTAATTTGAATGATCATTTTAGTTCTAAGATTGAAATGGGAAAGGGAAGGTGATTTCATCAGATTTTTATGGAATATCTGCTATTTAAAGAAGCCATAGGGCCCAGCATTTCCACTCATAGGTATATGCTCAAGAAAAATGAAACATATGAAATTCTCAGAACAAGGAAATCTATAGAAATGAAAAGTATATTAGTAAATTGCTTAGGAATGGAGGGAATGGGGCGGGGTGAGGGTGGGGTGATAGCTGAAGGGTATGGTTTTGTGTGTGTATGTTTGGTGATGAAACTGTTCTAAAAATAACTGGTTGGTGATGGTTGTACATATCTGTGAATATACTAAAAACCATTGAATTGTACACTTTAAATGGCGAAGTGTATGATAGATGAATTTTATCTCAATAAGGCTGTTTTTATTTTTTAAAATATCAGGGATTACAATGATTAATCCAAATGTGGACTTAGACAATTAACCTTCGCAAGAAGCACTTGTCTTCCAGTTTTAGAGTCCTAACGTGTGTATAGAAAACTGAAGCAAAGGGAGAAAATAGTAGGTTTTATGGAGGTGATATTTAGCTGGACTATGAGAATAGTTGGGATTTGGACCTTATAAGCAGAGGAAACAACTTAGGCAAAGACTAAGTGAGAAATGAATTACAAAGTATTTATAAAAATGAAACTGAATGGAATTCATTTTTTCTTGATTATAGAATTTAAGAATTTAGGTTAGACTAGTGGTTTGAGGCCAGCTTTGAATGTTCTTTAGGTAAAGTTATTTATTTATTTATTTATTTTTAGTTATTCTTTATCCCATAAGAAGTAGTGAGATTCTAAAGGATTTTGAGCAGAGCTGTGATATTACCTGAACTATACTTTAGAACGATGATTATGGTAACAGTGTTTTTTGAATTCCAGAAAAGATAGACTAGAGACTGAAAGAAGAAAAGGAGAGAGCATATGAATGCCAGAGAAATGGAAAAACAGATCAAAAGAAATATTTGAAGCAGAAATTTGGGATTAATTGAATGTAAGGGACAGGGAAAGAGAATAAATTTAATGGGAGGTGTATGTGAGCCATTTAGGGCACAAGTCCAATAGATATTTGAAAATACAGAACTGGGGCACGGAATAGTAGTCAGTACTGTCTAGTGACACAGTATTACTTAAAACCATTAAATGGGCAGAAATTAAGATAGGAGTTTGCAATCACACAGAGGACTTGGGAAATCCTTAGAGGAACACATTCATTTAGGCATCAGAGAGAAGAGGAAGTATAACCAGAATAATTTGGAAAAACAGAAGACAGTTTCATGCAATCCAAGAGACATTTATGAAGAAGGAAATGGGGGTGATAAAATGGAAGAAAACTGAAAACATCCTTTAGGTGTAATGGATGAACTTCAGAAATATTATCTTCAGCCTCAATAGCAATGCACTATTATAGCAGAAAAGCAAACAAAAAAAAAAAAGATAAAACTGAGAAGGCTTAATTCCTAGAAATCTTAGGGAGATAATTTTAGAACATATATAGAGCTTGGCAACCAAAGATGAAGAGAGTATGCATTTTAAGAAAATTATATAAAAGTGGGCCAGACACAGTGGCTCACATCTGTAATCCCAGCACATTGGGAGGCTGAGGCGGGTGGATCATCTGAAGTCAGGAGCTCAAGACTAGACTGGCCAACGTGGCAAAACCCCATCTCTACTAAAAATATAAAATTAGCCAGGCATGGTGGTGCATGCCTGTAATCCCAGCTACTTGGGTGGCTGAGGTAGGAAAATCGCTTGAACCCAGGAGACAGAGGCTGCAGTGAGCCAAGATCGCATCACTGCACTCCAGCCTGGGTCTCAAAAAAAAAAAAAAAAGGAAAAAAGAGAGAAAAAATTAATTATGTAAAAGTGAATAACTATTTAGAGAGAAGATAATTAGCCCAGCATGGTGGCCCAAGCCTGTAGTCCCAGCTACTCGGGAGGCTGAGGCATGAGAACCATTCAAACCTGGGAGGTGGAGGTTTCAGTGAGCCGAAACCCCGCCACTGCACTCCAGCCTGGGAGACAGAGCCAGTCTCTGTCTTAAAAAAAGAGAGAGAAAGAAAACTGTTTTCTAGGCATGAATGTTCCCTGATTTGAAGTTAGTCAGGACATGATGATATTAATAGATGCCTTATTTGAAACTGCTTCCTTAGAAATTTAACAACTAGTGTTCATATAATGCCATAAGGAATATTTTAGTTTATGGGAGCTATAGTCAGACTACATTAGCAAGGTAGGCATGCAAACATTGCAGTTATTGATTAGTTAGTGGTTTGGTAAAATGTCATTCTGATTTCAGGCAAGTTTTAGCTGCCAGTTAATCTAAAGCATAACACAGCCACAGACAGAATTAGAAGGAATACCAAAAATAATGAAAACGTTCAGTTTATAAGTATAGGCATGAGACAAGAGTGGGATATTCTCAGCAAGAAAATAGTGAAAATGAAAGTCCATACTTTTTGTTTAGTTTTTTCCTGTAAGGCCTTCATCTACAACGCTAGTCAGGCATCTAAAACTTATTCCAATATATGTAGGTTTTAAATTGTTGTATCTTTGACCCAGTAATTCTACTTCCAGAAATCCATTCTCAAGAAAGCCCCCAAAATGTAGATAAGTAATAGGTGCCAACATCTTCCAGATACAATACTTTTCAATAGTTCAACAAAAGGTTGAATACAGCCTTGGTTTCCGAGTGTGGAGAAATAGTTGTGAATGAATTGCAGCTCTTCAATAACACAGACATTAAGCAGTCATTAAAATGACCTTTCGGAACAGTATTTGATGACATGACAAAATACTCATAGAGTTAGATAAAAGGGGTGAACTAAGGAATTACATGTATAATGTGATCTCAACTGCATTTTAAAAGTACATGAAGAAATAAATACATGCATGGAGAAAAGTATGCCAAATTGTTAATGGAATTTTGCCTGAATAGGATTATGGATTTTGTTCTTTTTTTTTTTTTTTTTGAGACAGAGTCTCGCTCTGTCACTCAGGCTGAAGTGCAGTGGTGCAGTCTTGGCTCACTGCAGCCTCCACCTCCAGAGTTCAAGCGATTTTCCTGCCTCAGCCTCCTGAGTAGCTGGGATTATAGACGCATGCCACAACACCCAGCTAATTTTTGTATTTTTGGTAGAGATGGGGTTTCACCATGTTGATCAGGCTGGTCTGGAACTCGTGACCTCGTGATCTGCCCACCTCGGCCTCCCAAAATGCTGGGATTACAGGCGTCAGCCACTGTACCCAGCCTGGCATGTACTTCTTTAATAGATAATTAAAAATAATCATCACCTTAAAAATGTAGAAGATTGGTTATAGGAAAGCCTAGAAAAGGAAAGGTAGAGTAATCAATGCAAATCATCATTGTCTATTGAAAAAGCAATTCAAAATATAAGCCTTACTGACAGAGAATCAGTAGCATTACCACATGCTGTCAGATTAGTCCTGTCTACTGGTAGCCTCTATTAAGTTACCCTGGGCACAAACAAACAGTAGAAGCCTCAGTATAGATTCTGAAATCATTGACACATTTGTTTCCCACATATTGGCTGTGAAAGAGTAGCTTGTGTCTTTGTTATGAGCATCTTACCTTTTAAATTTGCCATCCACAAACAAATGAAGATAAAATTTTAACTTTGTAATATTTGCCATCCACAAACAGATGAAGATAAAATTTTAACTTTGTAATATTGCATAAGTAAATATGTAAAACTACCACATGAGCAATTATTGCTTCTTTAATTTTGCCAGTAATTATGTATTTTGTTATTTTTCCATAGGTTGCATCATAAATACAAAGGACTGAAGTTATAAAAGAGAAAAAAGAAGATTGCTGCTAAAATGAATCTGAGCAATATGGTATATTTTGTGCCACACACAAAAAGGTATTGTCCATAGATCTACGACTTAGCTTTCTTTTAAATAGATGGAAAAAAATAATATTTTCTGGATGAATTTTTATCTTTGAAAGAAAAATAGAAGGGAAAATAAAAATATTAATAAAATTAGAATAAAATATTCTTTTATAAAAATGTTTGAGTTTCAATTTATTTCCTAAATTTTTTCTTCTCAGTAATGGTTTATGTTATGAATAATTATTTGGTTAAAAGAAATGAGCTTAGTTCAATTTCTTTGATTCCTATTGTCAAATTATTTTCTGGAAATATATATATTGCCATTTTTTGTTATAGTACTTTATAGTTAGATTTGAAATTACCTAAAAGGTTTTGTGTCACTTTTCTTCTAATTACAGAAGTAACAGACTTTTCAAAACAAAATTTTAGAAAATACATGGAAACAAAAAGAAGGAAATAGAAAAATTACCCAAAATTTCAATACCTAACTTCAGATAAAACACAAGCTACAAAGAAACCAAAACTCATAGGTCAAAGAAGTCACGTTTCCCATATGCACCGTCATATTCCTTCTGTGCTTTCCCTAATTGTACCTCACCTCTTTTGCTAAAACAAAACAAACAAGAAACTGCCTCGTATGAATTCCCAAAAGTGTATTACTAGGTTCAAAGAGCGTACCCATTCTATTCTTCCAGCAATGTATGAAACTATTTCCTTATTCTCTTGTCAGAAAAAAAGTATCTTTTTTCTCTTATTTTGCCTATTTGGTGGGTGAAATGAGGTGTCATGTTATTTCTATTTTTACTTCTTTGATCATTAGTGAACTTAAAAGATTCATATTTTAAATGGACACTGCTGTTTCTTTTTTTAATTTCCTACCTGTCTCTTTTGAGTTTTAGGTAAGTGTATGTGTGTGTTCACCTTTCTGATATTAAGATTAGCTTTTAACTGACAGATATTTTGCACAAATTTTTTCTACTTCATTTATTTTTCTTTCTTTTTTCTTTTCTTTGTTTAATTTTGCCCCCCCCCCTTTTTTTTTTTTGAGATGGATTTTCATTCTGTCGCCCAAGTAAGAGTGATGTGGTGCAATGTTGGCTCACTGCAACCTCTGCCTCCCAGGTTCAAGCAGTTCTCCCACTTCAGCCTCCCAAGTAGCTGGGATTACAGGCATGCACCATGACACCCACTAATTTTTTTTTTTTTTTTTTTTTGAGACAGAGTCTCACTGTGTTGCCAGGTGCCAGGCTGGAGTGCAGTGGTGTGATCTCGGCTCACTGCAACCTCCGCCTCCTGAGTTCAAGCAGTTATCCTGCCTCGGCTTCCCAAGTAGCTGGGACTATAGGCGTGCGCCACCACACCCAGCTAATTTTTTGTATTTTAGTAAAGACAGGTTTTCACCATGTTGGCCATGATGGTCACAATGTCTTGACCTCATGATCTGCCTGCCTTGGCCTCCCAAAGTGCTGGGATTACAAGCATGAGCTACCACTCCCGGCCTGATTTCAATTTGGTACATTTCATGTTTCTAAAACTACCTTATTGATGCATAACATACATACAATAATCTGAACATATTTAAAGAGCATAATTTCTTTTAACAGGTATGTATCTGTGAAACCATCATCATAGTGGAAAGAAACATATCCACTATCACTCCCAAAAAGCTTCATCATGCCCCTTTTTAGCCCCTCCTACCTACTCCTTTTTACCTGCCCTTGACACCCCCATCCCTCAGGTAACCACTGATGTGTGATTTCTCTCTCTTTAAATTAGTTTGCATTTTCTAGAATTCTATATAAATAAATCATAAAGTGTATACTATTTTTTGTCTGACTTCTTTTACACAGCATAAATTATTTTCAGATTCATTCCTGTTACAGTGTATATCTATAGTTCCTTTTATTGCTAAGTTACAGTTCATTGTGTTTATCACAGACTGTTTATCCATTTATTTGTCGATGTACATTTGGGTTGTTTCCAGTTTTGGCTACTAAAGCTGCTGGAACATTTGTATACAGGGGTTTGTGTTGATATATGCTTTCAATTTTCTTGCGTAAATATTTAAGAGTATAATGGCTACATCATATGATAGGTATATGTTCAGCTTTTTAAGAAACTGCCCAATAATGAAGTTTGAGATTATTTTATGCTAGCTCTCCAACTTTGTCCTCTGTTTTCAAAGTTGCTTTGCTTATTCTGGGTCCTTTGAATTCTCATAAATTTTAGAATAAGTTTCTCAACTTCTATGTCTAAAGAAAAATGTTGAGTCTTATGATTTATAAACATAGTATATCCCTTCATTATGTCTTTATATCATTCTTATTTTGTCATTTTCAGTGTACAGGTCTTATATATCCTTTGTTAGATTTATCCCTAAGTATTTCACCATTTTTTCTTTTTTTTTTTTTTTTTTGAGATGTGCCTCTGTCACCCAGGCTGGAGTGCAGCGGCACAATCTCAGCTCACTGCAACCTCCACCTCCCGGTTTCAAGCAATTCTCCTGCCTCAGCCTCCCGAGTATCTGGGATTTCAGGCACATGGCACCACACCTGGCTAATTTTTGTATTTTTAGTAGAGACGGGTTTTCACCATGTTGGCCAGGCTGGTCTTGAATTCCTGACCTCAAGTGAACCACCCACCTTAGCCTCCCAAAGTGCTGGGATTATAGGTGTGAGCCACTGCGCCTGGCCCTATTTCACATTTTTTATACTACTATGATATTTTTAAAATTTGATTTTCATGTATTCACATATAGAAACATAATCATTTTAGGCCAGGTGCAGTGGCTCACACCTGTAATCTCAGCACTTTGGGAGGCTAAGGTGGGTGGGTCACTTGAAGCCAGGAGTTTGACACCAGCCTGGTCAAGGTGGCAAAACCCCATCTCTACTGAAAATGCAAAAATTAGCCAGACATGCTGGTGCATGCCTGTAATCCCATCTACTCAGGTGGCTGAGGCACGAGAATTGCTAGAACCCGGGAGGCAGAAGTTGCAGTGAGCCAAGATCATGCCACTGCACTCCAGCCCGGGTAACAGAGGAAAATATAAAAAAAAAAAAAAAAAAAGAAAAAATGGTGAAATACTTAGGGATAAATCTAACAAAGGATATATAAGACCTGTACACTGAAAATGACAAAATAAGAATGATATAAAGACATAATGAAGGGATATACTGTGTTTATAAATCATAAGACTCAACATTTTTCTTTAGACATAGAAGTTGAGAAGCTTATTCTAAAATTTATGAGAATTCAAAGGACCCAGAATAAGCAAAGCAACTTTGAAAACAGAGGACAAAGTTGGAGAGCTAGCATAAAATAATCTCAAACTTCATTATTGGGCAGTTTCTTAAAAAGCTGAACATATACCTATCATATGATGTAGCCATTATACTCTTAAATATTTACCCAAGAAAAATGAAAGCATATATCAACACAAACCCCTGTATACAAATGTTCCAGCAGCTTTAGTAGCCAAAACTGGAAACAACCCAAATGTACATCGACAAATAAATGGATAAACAGTCTGTGATAAACACAATGAACTGTAACTTAGCAATAAAAGGAACTATAGATATACACTGTAACAGGAATGAATCTGAAAATAATTTATGCTGTGTAAAAGAAGTCAGACAAAAAATAGTATACACTTTATGATTTATTTATATAGAATTCTAGAAAATGCAAACTAATTTAAAGAGAGAGAAATCACACATCAGTGGTTACCTGAGGGATGGGGGTGTCAAGGGCAGGTAAAAAGGAGTAGGTAGGAGGGGCTAAAAAGGGGCATGATGAAGCTTTTTGGGAGTGATAGTGGATATGTTTCTTTCCACTATGATGATGGTTTCACAGATACATACCTGTTAAAAGAAATTATGCTCTTTAAATATGTTCAGATTATTGTATGTATGTTATGCATCAATAAGGTAGTTTTAGAAACATGAAATGTACCAAATTGAAATCAGGCCGGGAGTGGTAGCTCATGCTTGTAATCCCAGCACTTTGGGAGGCCAAGGCAGGCAGATCATGAGGTCAAGACATTGTGACCATCATGGCCAACATGGTGAAAACCTGTCTTTACTAAAATACAAAAAATTAGCTGGGTGTGGTGGCGCACGCCTATAGTCCCAGCTACTTGGGAAGCCGAGGCAGGATAACTGCTTGAACCCAGGAGGCGGAGGTTGCAGTGAGCCGAGATCACACCACTGCACTCCAGCCTGGCACCTGGC